AGAGAGAGAGAGAGAGAATGTAAAATATGTTTTAATTATAATTATTATTAAAATCACTTAATAAATCACTACATAAATAGCAGCGAAAAATTGCTTATTAAACATCTCTTTTGTCCCAAAAGTGTGTAAAAATGATCAGTCATTTCAATCGACAGATTATACGTCCGATAGTATGTGTATAACGAGATTAAAAGCAATTAAAATGAGTTAAAAAGTTAATATTTTTAGTATTAAATTTGTTTTATTAAAAATGTTGTGAGCCTTGAGTTAGTATTAAATATATATTTATCTGGAGATAAATCTCTTGAGAGAGAGAAAAAAAATTCAACAAAAAACTGATTTAAACCGGAGTTTCAAATCCGATAAGAAATGTGTATTAAATAAAAGAGTTAAACATTAATACAAAAACTATAATTAAGTGCATTAAACGAGTTAAATGAACAGTTTTACCACTATTCAATTGCGATTATTATATTTAAATCTACCATGAGTAAATGCATTCATTTATTGTTAATGCTTAACGAGCTTACAAACAAGTATAATTTAATTAGTTAGTGTGTATTTCTGAAATATGATGAATGATGTCTAAATATTTATATATAAATTTCATTAATATTGTATCTAATCAAATAGTTTATGTATTGACCGGCGATTAATGGTCAAGGTTATTTGGTCTCGCTAGTACAATAATTACACTCATATTGAAATAACCATCTTAATATAAAATATTATACATGATAATAGTGTATCAAATAGAATACACTCCACAGAATTTAATGTAAACCATTTATAATAGTTTGCAATACATTAACAAACATTTCTGTGAGATATGATATCGAGAAAGCATATCATTTATGGGAATATTTTTATTTAAATACTTCTTATGGTAAATATCATCTTAAAATGAATTGTATTTTATATATAGTAAAAACCTAAAACATAATCACAAATTTAATACAGTAATAGGTTTTAGTTTATTTCTTATAAAGCATATATTTTCTATCACTTTATTATAAGATTTATCAAATATAAATAAATGATATTGAAATTAAAATTTATTGCATATTTAAAATAAACAAAATTATACCCTGATTATTAAAAGCATACTGTATATGAAAATTGACAAAAAGAAATAACAAACGCTATATTTAATACAATCTTAAATATTGATAATCTAATAAATTGCATGATAAGTTATGTAATAAATTATGACTCATATTAAATATACATTACCAGTCCATTACAGTATATCCAATATAATAGAGACAATTCTTTACATTACACATATTGCATAAGTAAAATGAAATATTGTCGACAAAACAACTACCTTGTTTATATTATTTTATATTATAATTCGTATAGAAGTTAACTATGCTAAATTTTTATATTGATCGCATTACGTTAATAACTTCACTAACTAAACAACGTTAATATTACAAACATAACTAACTTTACATAACGTGGGTAATTAATAATGAATTTACAATAATTATCATTGTCATTTATGATAAAAACATTACCGCTTAACAATACATAAGTAAAATTTGTATTTTAAAAGCCTTTAGCTGATCCATTGACAGTGATGTCAACCCTCCAGAGAGCCATACAAGTGGTAACCGAAGCCGCGGAAGAAGACAAAAACCAGAATTACTCGGAAGCGCTTCCGCTGTACGAGAAGTCCATCCATCGCTTTCTTCTAGCGCTTACAGGTGACCATCAATTATCATACAATCATACCATCACTTAATCACATATCTGTCCATCAGATGAAACGCTGTCCAAAAGTGCCAAAGAGGTTATACGTCCGAAATGTGACCAATACTCAGACAGAGCGGCAAAAATAAGGGCCTATCTGGGGCTCCCGGAGCTGAGCACGCGTTTGGATTCGGAGGTGACAACACTTGTAAACCAATTGGACGGTGCGATTGTCATCGAAAAGGCCGACACCCAGTGGTCAGCGGTGGCCGGACTCGAGGCGGCGAAAGACACGCTGCGAACGGCGCTAATAATGCCGCACAAGTTTCCGCACCCAATCGCTGGCCGTCGGCCGCCGTGGAAAGGGATCCTATTGGTGGGCGCGCCCGGTGTCGGCAAATCACTGCTGGTTAAAGCCGTGGCCACCGAAGCGGCCGACTATTGGACATTCTTTGTGGTGTCCATCGATAAACTGATCCCCAAATGGCTGTCTTGTGGCGGGAAAGAGGCTGTGACTGAACTGTTGGCAGCGATTGGCCGACACCGAGAGCCGAGTGTTGTATTCATAAACGATATCAGTTTCCTCACGAGTGGATCCATTGATGGCACCGTCGATGACGAGTCGGGAACCGTTGCCCGAAGAGTTGGACACGAATTGTTGGACCAATTGCGAGCGCTTGTCAAACATAACGACCACGTGGTAGTGTTGGGCACCACAAGTAAGCCCTGGTCTGCGAACACAACGATCGCAGAGTTGTTCCCCAAACGGGTTTACATACCGGTGCCCGACGAAGACCAACGACTCGATGTGATTAAAGCAAACATCGCTAATACAGCCAACTCTTTGACCGATCGAGACGTGCGCTGTTTGGCCAGAAAGACCCAGGGATTCACCCGCGCGGACATCCAGACACTGGTCAGTATGGCGTTGATGAGGGCCGGGATAATCGTCGAGAGGGCCACACATTTTAAACAGGTTACCGATCGGGCCAACAGTGACCCCGGAATAATGGCCAACGCTCTGTGGACCCCCTGTCCGTCCGATGACCCTCTGGCTATTGAGATATCCTGCGATGATGTGCTTCCGGATCAGCTCTTGGAGCCCGTGATATCAATAGACGATGTGTTGTTCGTGTTATCGATGGTTAAGCCCAATGTCAGCGACAGTGATATCGAGAGATTGAAGAAGTTTTGCGAGTGATTCATAAGAAAATTGTTGTCTCATATATTTCCTGCCTTTACATATACAGTACTGTATGTTTACTTTAAGAATTAATATAAATAAATAATAATAATAAGTTATATCATAATAATAGGTGTAATGATATGAAATAAGCTGCTATTTAATGTAATTAACTAATATTTGTAATTTTATTAATCGAATAATGCATCAAGGTAGGATTAATAATAGGATGTGCAATGTTAGTCTATTAGTGTATGTGGTTTACAGTACAACCCAGTGCAGCCCACATTATCATGTAATTTATGAAATATGACTTTGTAGTTAATAGACCAGCAATTCTTGTACATTATATAACATGTATTCAAAATATTCATCAATGAAATAGTTATTATATATTCCTCTCCACTCATACAGGAAATGATTTCATTTATATTAATGGTTTTGATTGTAAAATAATTTAATTCTCCATATAATCCGATATTTAATTACATTATCTATTAGTTATTATCATATTATATGTTATAAATAATTTTATATTCATTGAAAAAATTTATTCAACAATTGTATTACAACGAGAGACAGGTATTCATTGGAGACGTCTGTCGAGAGTTAGACTTTGGACTTAAAATATAAGCGATATTTATATTTATCATTACATATAAAATAATAGACATTTGTTATATAAAAGTCAAACATGTTATAAAGTACACATAAAACAAAAGTAATAATCAAAATAAATATAACTATTAATTATACGGTAATTAACATTATGTGTGAAATATACTGTTTATAATGTCAATACAAACACAATATTTTCATACATAAAATCAAGTGTTGTGTTTAAATTTGATACCAAAAGTCTTATGTTTAAAAATAATTTTTGCAATATTTTAGTACAAAATATTATTTATTTATTTAATTCACAAGAATCTCACGAGTTATAAAGTCATTCAATATTCCCATAGAGTGTGAGTGTGTTATATAAAAGTAACGGAAATATAAAACACTTGAAAACATTGGATATTAATTAAAACTATCTTTTTTGAGGCCAACAATACGTGCGTTAATTTGTCTATAAAATTAAAAATAACATTTTTTACATCAATGTAAAAAAGTAATCACTTATGTTGTATGCGGTGTTTGTGTAGCAAACATGTGTTTTCAACGAGAAAACAGACTTTTTTGTTTTAACCATCGTCAGTTAATTACCGCTCGTATTTAACCTGTGTTTATATTTATATCAGACAAAAGCAAAGTGATAAAACAATTATATTCAAACAAAATGTCACAGTTTTATTTTAAGCGTAAAAAGTCAGAGTCCCGACCCATACCGTTGGGCGACGGTCTCGAAGTATTCCCATTGCCCGTCAAGTGTGCGGTTATTGGCGACTGTTCGGTGGGCAAAACGTCCATGCTCATCTCATATACAACCGGATCATTTTGTACACAATATGTGCCCACAATGTATGTGCCCAATATAGTTTTGTTATTTAAATTGTCTCAATTTTTAACCTTAAGTTTCTTACTTGTATTGCAATACCGAGAAATACCTTTTGATATCTATTATGTTTGTTATTAATTACAATCAAAATATTGCTAATAAGAGAGAGAGAGAGAGAGAGAGAGAGAGAGAGAGAGCATACCAACTAAGATGAATGGCTTATTGGGCAGACTTTCCTTCATCTCTGGTATCCATTTGTTGATAACGTTGTGAAATGTTTTCGGCGACACAATAGAGAAGCAGACAATGAAGACGTCGGTCTCCAAGTATGTCAAATACCGGAGCCGTCGCATGTCGTCCAGACCCGCGGTGTCGCACAACTCCAGGTCCACCAGCACTCCATCGCATACCGTCTCCTTATTATACGTGTCGAAGCTATCAAATCACATGTTGCAATATCAAATGTTAATTGTTTTTATTAAAAAAATATTTCAAGTTAATATCATTTTTAACATTGTTTAGTTCCTGTTTGTTTATTTTATCTCTATTTGCTCTCTCTCTCTCTCTCTCTCAATGTTTTAATTAAAACTAACATATGTTTTGTCATATTCAGGCACAAAATCAGATTTGCGAAACAATTACGATATACTGCGAGAGTTGTCCCAAACGGGAGAGACACCGGTCGAGCGGCAAACCGGTCAGCGGTTTGCGGCCAAACACGGGGCCGTCAAATACCTGGAGTGTTCGGCGGCCACCAAATTAGGGTTAAATCAAATATTTGACGAAAGTATCCGAAAAGTGCTTGAATTACATAGATTTCCAGTGAAACACAACAAAGCGTGCTTTACGTGTACGCTGTCTTAGAAATTGTCTGTACGTAATATACTTTTTTTTAGTAACATTGTAATTCAATCGTGGTGTTTATTTATAAATTTTAATTTAATATTTATATTCATATGATTTATATTGAGTTATTTGGTGTATATTTATGTATAACATGTATGTAAAATAATATTTGATGTACAATACAGGATGTGTTTCAGATTTTTTGTAATGTCTAACCGTTTTACTCAATAATTTTTCAATAATTTTTCAATAATTTTTGTAATTAATTATAATTTTCTTGAAATGTGCGAAAATTTGTTAGCATTACTTGGAAAACAATTTTATATGTATTATATAATAATAAAATTGATATACATTTTCATTTGCGTTAATAATTTTGATGTTTCACTTGAATTAATCATTTTTGTATTTTAATATAAGTGTTTATTAAATACCATTAAGTTAACAAATCAGATATATTAACATAATTTATATTGGTAATTAAATTGTAGATAGTTTCCATGGCTTACATATAAAGTAAAGACAGAAATGTTTTAATTACAAAATATATTCAAATTAAAACATTTAGATATTTTGAATTGAATACAAGCACTTTAAATTGTTTAGGATAACCGAGGGGACCTGTTTTGACCATCTATGACCAATTGAATTATAACTCTGAATAGATAGACATTATGTGCAAAGGTATTGTCAAATCTCTGGTAAGGTTTTATACGACTCGTAACCACCAAATCCCTTAACCCTACCCTTCAATAGACAAAATAAATTATTTTAATTTATTATATTTAAAATTAATTCATTCAATCAATTATTCAAATACTGATAATATTTTATTTAAAAACAATTTGTTAAAGCTCATAGTTATTAAGAAATACAATGTTCAATAATACATTCTAATTGTTTTTATATTTTGCTGCAATAATTAAACATTAGTTTGAATAGAACATAATAAATGTAAAATAAGTTGGTAAATAATTTGTAAAATAAAAATAACAATATAATAATTGATTAATATTACAATTGAATATAAATAATAATTAATGGGTTAATGATAGAGAAGTAAATAACAAACAAATAATGACAATTAGCTATAAAATCAGTTGTAAATGATATAATAATAGCAATACTTATTTAAAACAATACATTATATAATATATCACTAATACTTTGATTATGGGTTACAATATATGCTATAATTTCATAGAAATTATAAATACTTATACAATATATCATCAGAAAAAACCAAACATCAAATGTTAGCAAAAAATGTTTGATTTTTTATAAACAGATAATTAAAAAACAGATCAATAAATCAGATCCAAAGACATCTCAAACAGGTTTGCGTTCGTGAATACCATCGATGATTGTGTCGACCGGTTTGGGCGGCGAATAGAAATACTCGACGGCGTAATAGTAGATCCAAACGCCGAGCACTGCGCCTATTGTCGGACCAACTATACCGACGGTCCACCAGTAGTGGCCGTCTAATGGACTGCAGAAATAAAACAACAATTAATATATCATAAAAATTAATTAATACTTAAGAATATTCTTTAGCCTTCAATAAAAAGATGGAGGAGGGGTAGGGGTAGGGGGAGGGGTAGTGGGGGCGACCCAATACACACACATACCTAAACACATTGAAACCCCAGCCGGCGATTGCTGTGAATAGTCGGGGCCCAAAATCTCGGGCCGGATTCATACCGCACCCGGTGTTAAAACCAAAGGCCTGGGCGTGCGTTGCGATCACAAACGCCAATAGAAATGGTTGTAAATACATGGGAACATTCAGATTATTTTTGTCCACCACTACACACACCGAGATTAGTAGCGAACACGTGGCCACCACCTGTAAAATCAAAATTGTCATCGATTAGTTACATCAAGTTTTGATAATTAATCAATAATTGTATACATGGTAATGCAATGTTACATGTTACAATGTATAGTAAATTTTTAAAATTAAAATGCTCAATTGATTGTTTGTTAATATTAATTAATAATATGTTTAATTAAAACTTAATTTTACACAAGCGATAGTATTAAACAACAACAACAAAAAACGCACCTGATCAATAATACAAACTAACAGGGTACTGTGCGGTGCCGGGTAAGTGGAAAATATGCCACCAGTGCTGAGCGCGTGACCAAACGCGCGTAAATCTGTATTATTTCTCAAGGGATCCAAATCGTGCTGGGTGTTAATCTGGTCGACGTACACCAGATAGGCGGTGGCAGTGCCCAGGAATGCGCCCACCACTTGGGCCAATATATAAGGGCCCACCTTTTGCCACGGGAACCGTTTTAATGTTGCAAACGCTATGGAAACAGCAGGGTTTATGTGACCACCTGTTAGATGGGGGTAGGTAATTAAGTTATTGCTATTATATTTTATCAAGTTTATTTTACTGACCAGATATAGCCATTGAGGCACATATGCCCACAAAGGCCCCAAACCCCCAGCAATAGTTAACACCCGCGTAGTCCACGTGTTTGTCTGGTATGCCCTTAATGTTGAGGACATAGGCACACGTCGCAGAGCATCCAATTAACTGTACGTTAAATTAAGTTAATTAAAAGATATATATGTTATTATTATAATTAATTAATTGATAATATTTTTAAAATTATTTGTTTATTTAAGTATTTTATTTTAATTATTATTTGAAATTTTATATTTAAATTTATGAATTGATTAAATACTTATTGAGTAAACAAAAACAAAATTCCTTTTGCAATAAATTAACTCGTAAATTGTCAAACTATTTTAACTTGACACAATTGTTATTTAGTTTGATGCATTTATTTAGGTATTTATTTACTTTTGGTCATAAAAATAGAGGTAAAAATATTAATCTATCATTTAAAATTCATAAGAATAAACACTAACTAATTTTATCCTATTGTTGATTAGTTAATCAATCATGTCACTATATTTATTACATAAATAAGCATAATGTTTACACAACAAACTTTTAGTAGAGTATTTTTGAATCATTAAAATAATGAATTATTAAAATTATCGCATTTCCAGTATATTTCCATTGGGCTAACGATTGTAATGCTGTAAACTACTTAAAAATCCTATTTTTACATTAATGAAATATTTATATACAATGCATGCTAATATATACTGAAAGGAAAACCCATATTAGACATTGAAAGAGTTAACGATTAAAATATAAATATTTATTATAATTAACTAAATATGTTTTAACAGACAATTACTGAGACATATGGAAAAACACTACTTATTATGAGAATTAACTAAATATGTATTTTTGATGGTATTATTGACAGTGAATACTGTGTAGACGTATTCTGTATTCAATACAGTGTATTGTTAGTAAAAATATTTATTATAATTAATAACCTTGCTTATATGTTAAATGTTAATAATTTAAAGTTACGATAATTACTGTATTATGTAATCTAATGCTATAATTACGCTAAACCCTAAGAAATACTTGAATAAAAATATATGTGAAAAATATTACTGTATATACATTTAGCTTAAAAATCGATAGTTTTTATAACTCAACAACAGTTTAAATCCAATAAAATACACAGAATTTAATAGTAATTTGAGCTCAAAATATGTGTAAAAATAATATAAATTTTTAAATATTCTGATCAAATTCAACGCATTATTCTATGCTTTTCGCTAGAAATAATTGGTTTACTAAAACTATTAATAAATTACTGTAATTTAAAAACTACATAAAAATAAAACAATTTTGCAAACAATAATTAGTTTTAAAAATAAACAGCTATATTATTTAATGCAAAAAATAAATGAGCTAATAATCACTAATAATTAAGAACTAAGCAATTAAAAGTTAGTAAAACGAAGAAAGACAAAAATGGTCATGTAGAAAAAATGACATACCATTAACATATAAGTGCCCAACAGTTCGGCCATCAATTCCTTAATCAATTGTTTTAGGTTTGAAGAGATGGGCGACTCCTCATCCCGTCTCACGTTATTATTATTGTTATTCATCTTTATTTGCTCTGAAATATTGTACAAATGTTTCATTTCAATCATATATCAAATATATTATGCATTTATAGCTAGATTCATATGCAGATACACTTTTCACATGATATGTAAATAGATTTACATATTTAATACATTTATAAAACTTTTGCAAAATAGTAAAAGCTTTTTATACCGATAAACACAGGAGTTATACAAATAAACTAAATAAATATTAATGTTATATTCATCAAGTTTGTGATTGTTTTTGGCTATCTCTCTCTCTCTCTCTCTCTCTCTCTCTCTCGCACTGATGTTTACTTACATAACAATCGCAAAACCAGTAAAAATCAAACACCAGATTATGGGTTGAAATGTGTGTACAAAACACACAATTAAAGCGGTAGTGAAAGAAGAGGCGATAGTTTAGCAAACATTTCAATACATGTGAACAATAACTAAATACACAAATACAATGTCTATGACATAACACACCTGCGTCCTCGCCGTCAACTAGAGATTGAAAAATCTTAAAAATTGTAGTTTGGTGTCGTATCGGTATCGGTAAAAATTTTAAAACTCAGTATCGGTGTCGGTATCGGTAGTGTCGTTGGTGTCGGTAGTATCGGTAGTATTGGTAGTATCGGTGGTATCGGTGGTATCGGTGGTATCGGTAGTATCGGTGGTATCGGTAGTATCGGTAGTATTGGTAGTGTCGTGAGCATGCGCAATCTAATGAGGTTTTCAATTTTACTGTTACATTTAACGCTAGTTAACTAATTACTAAACAAAATCATTACAATTAGTAAGCTTAATGGTGATATATAAATAATAATTATAATTAAAAGTATAATTAATATCGCTGGTATCGGTAGTGTCGGTGGTGTCGGTAGTATCGTTGGTATCGGTGGTATCGGTAGGATTTCAAAACCAGTGTCGGTATCGGTATCGGTGTCGCGACACCGATACCGATACTCAGTGTCGCTAGTATTGTATCGCGATACCGACACTGAAATTTCAACCACTACCGTCAACCACAATACAACACCGACTGATTTGATGGACATTCAATACAATAACCTCTCAAACAAATCCGAGAAAGAGAGAGAGAGAGAGAGAGAGAGAGAGAGAGAGAGAGTCTTATCATTAAAAAATATGTTTAATATTTAATATTTTTCAAATATTTTTATCGGAAAATTACTAAAATCAATAATATATCAAATATTTTATTTTAAATTATGGTAACTTTACATCTACTTTATAATTAAGCACAAGAACCACATGGTGAATCACATACACGTGTATTAACATTCCGTGCAGCATAGTGTATAGAAAACAGGGTTGAAATTTAAAATACATAATGATAATTAACCGGTAAATTCTTGTGCTCTTGACTTTGAATTATTTTGTTAATGAAAATACATTTCATTAATAAGTTTTACATTTTTAGGAAATTATGGATTTATTAAGTAATTAACTTATATTTTGACGGATGGCTACTCTACCGGTGCTAATAATTATGCACTTAATAATAATTAGAAATCACTATATTATACTAAAAAAAAGTAAACAAATTGTATTGTATACCCTTTTTAGCATAATTTTCATAATATTATTAGCATGATATATTTTTACATTAAGGTAACAATTCTTATTATAAAGATCTCTCTTAAGCATAACATGAATAAATCAATAATTATTATCATAATTACATAAGAAAATGAATAATGTATTAAATATTTAATTTTTACATTAATTGCTAAACTTTAACGAATAAATTGTTTACAATAACTAAAAATAAATGTATTAAAAATATTTTCATATAAAACCAATCTATGGTTTCAAATGAAACTTATATTAAACGCAAAAATATTTCTACAAGAAATAAATATTAATTAATTGATTAAAATCTGTCGTCAAATACCAAGTGTTTTATATCTACTATAATAGCAATAAAACAATAATAAAATTATAATTTATTGCGATCTTTACGTCAATCCAATCAAAGATTAAATGAAAATTAAATGACAATTAATTTTCTTAAATAAATGAACAAAAAATTAAATAAATAAAAGAATAAAATCCTTTTATAATTAAATTGCAAAATTCAAACCATTGTCTATAAATAGCCGACGACTAAACCAAACGACTAAATACACTAAATATACAGACAAACAAATGAAACCATAAAATAATTAAATGTAAAACTAATTAGTTTGCGAAATAAATTGGATTTACCATATACATATACACAAGTTTACAAAAAGCACCAGGGGACCACCGGCTCAATGCTAAACTAATCTACAGTATGTCAGACCATGCATCCCTTTCCTCCCTAAAAGCCTGGCCATTATTAGCATCAAAAACAGTGTATTATTTTTTATTAATTAATGAAAAAACGCCGATAATATCGATAAGAATATTCACAAACAATACACTCATTATATAAATGTATAGAAATTGAAATTAAATTGAAAGTCATATGAAATGAAATGTTAAATAATAGCAAACAATAAAAGTCAATAATAAAAGTAAAACTAATTTTAAAACTAAATATTTAGACATAATTATAGAACAGACAAAACAATTCATTATTATGACTAACGAAAAATGACAATCATTTATATATTAAATATAGAAAATTAATAAAATAAAGTTTTCATTCAAATACTCACTGTTTTTCGGGAGAAAACTTTCAAAACTTTCGTTTTGCATAATTTAAACGCTGTTTTCAAAACAAATCAATTCAAAAACAACTAATAATAATTAAATTGTAAAAACAAAATCATAAACTTAACAATTAAAATACAATAAAAATAACCCTAATATACAAATATTGGTAGATTTAATGGCAAATGTAAGGACACGGATAGGGCTTTGATGTATACAGTGGTAGACGACTGTAAGACAACAAACGTCGGCGTGTTTTACATAATAACTTTGCTTAACCCTCGCCTTTAAATAATCGGGATAATTGTGTAAGTGTTTAGTGTTGTTAACTGTACACTATATGCTTAAATAAGGCATACAATCTACCATCGATATGATGCACTAGTAACGACTCGTAACAAAGTTGCTAAAAATATTGACAATTAATTGCCAAACAAATATTAATTACAATTAATATATTTTTATAGGTGACACACAAATTATGCTAATTTATCACGCACATCTAGTACAATATTTAGTGTGTAAACATGGTATATAGTGTACAATTGTATTAACAACATGGTATTATAATTGTGTGTGTTGTTATAAGTGTATGATTTCTGAGATTAATTGATAATTTATTTAAGGTTTTAATTAAATTAATTGTGACAAGTTTTTAATATATTCGAAATATGAATTTTTGTTAAACTCAAAGTTAAATATAAGTATTTCCATTAATGAAAATCAATTTAAACTTTTTAATATTTTATTTATTTTAAATTATACATTAAAGTACATTTTCAATATATTTTAAATTAAAGTTTCAAATCAGGTTTCTTTTTGCTTAAGAGATAGGTTTTTCGTTGACAAAAATCTGCTATAGTATAAGCTCTAACCATAGCGCAGTAGGGTTTTGAGCCATCATCTAAATCCTGATGCAAAGGACAAGTATCGTGTTCTTTATAGGCTTCTTTGTAAACTTTATCGTAAGATGAAGGCGCCATCGTATCATACATTTTGTCGACATTAATTATTATATCTCCAAACCCAGCCATCCCAAGCCATTTAAGACTTGGATCATCATTTACAAAACCAATTATTCGTCTGTCTTCATTAGAGTCTTTAGTTATATTATATAAACATTTTAACACGGGAACAATTTCATTTTGACTTAATGAATCTATTGATTTTGAATCAAATTTCATACCATGAAACA